TAATTGATATAGCAAATAATAGTAAATTATGAATAATTTATAGGTAATAAATTGTGGCGAGATGAGGTATGTAGTTTACATTTAATTAAATAAGATACGCCACACATAGAATAAACTACAATAAGTTTAATGACTTTTTATAATGTTTTAATTTCTTAATTACCAAAGGTTCTTATTACAAACACTACATCAACTCCTCTATTACAATCCTGAATAACGTCTATTAATATAAGTGGCATTAATTTAATCCTAAATAACTCCTTATAATTAGTTTAATTCCTTTATTTGCTTTTTTTATGGTTGGGTGTGAAACCATATTTAAACAAAATGGTTAAGGAACTCTGTAGATATGAAGTTATATATACAAAAAATGAGATTATCCGAGTAAAAGCCGGGTATTAGACAGGCTTAGAATGATGGCGAACAACCTGTCGTATATGGCAGAAATTAGACAAAGCCGCAGATGCATAAACCTCGGAGTAACACAAACAATTGTGGTATTTTAAAACTTGAAACATATCGTTTTATATTATTTTAGATATATCGTGATATATAATCACAAGATTTTGCTCTCCTACATCTGGAGTAGATAATAGGATATGTTGTGACAATTATACACAAGAATTGGGAATTATTTGAGGACTTGGTAAAAAGTTTTCCCATACATTCTATTTCCTGTTTGTTTTGATTGGTTTGTTACATTGTTTCTTTATTATTTATATTGAGACTTCATTTGTTTTTTCCAGTAGTGACTGGTAAATATGATGAAATATAATATATAAGTAGAAATATATGTCGCTTGATTAACTTTACAGATAAATTTTGTTGTGAATATCACCTAATATTAGTGAATCTCTCCCATATATAATCTGTATATTTGTGACTGCGACCTTAATTAAATAGTGTTGATTGAACCTAATCGGTGACATTTAAAGTCTATATGTGACAGAATCTGGATCCATAGGTCAGAGAGAAGGTATGGAAGTCAATAATGGCGATTAATATCAAAAATACTATCTATTACACTTTCATTGTAAAATATTCACTCACCATGTATCATATTAAAACTAGGAAATTTTTTCTGAGAAATATAGTTAAGTAACACAAATGAATTCCATTAAAAGCATAAACCATATATGAGCAAATTTCAAATTTAATTTATTTTTAATGTTACATATACTCATCCATTATCTCAATTTCCTTTATATTACCAATTAGTGTCAGAACTTTAATACAAAATTTGTCTAACTTTAATATTATACGTTATCCCTCGCCTTTTAACATGTCATAAATTCTCATCCTCTTAAAAACTGTTTTTCTACTACTGCACCTTTTTAAATATACGAACATTTCGGTTCATATCTTTAAACAACTTATATAAAGAGAAGAAACGGATAACACCTCTTTAAATAATGTGTGGGTTGCTCTTTATCAAGTTAGCTTATATAGTCACCAAATTATGATTTAACAAATATTCTCCCTATAACTTATCAAACCAAATTAATTCAATGTGTCTGAACAAATTTGTAACAAAATTAGACTCTAGGATTAGTTAAGTTGCAGTTTCCAAGGAATACAGAGACTTGTCAATCATTTGGTGGCTCCGTATAGGCCTTTAGCAAAAAAAAAATCCAAATATATTGACGAGTATTGATTCGTATATTAATTGTTCTTTTTTTCCATTTTTATAACGCTTCTTGCTTTTCTCTTCTTCAATTAGGCATCAATCAAATCCTCCCACTTCCTCTTATTCCCTCTCAATTCGATTGAAATGCCAACAAATCTCATCTAGTAAATTCTTTCTTTCCTCACCTCTCCAATCCTTTCAACCAAACTCTCTTCTAATGTTAGATTAATTTCACTCTATGAATTCTTTTTATGTGTTAAATAATTAAGTACCCTTAATAAAGTTTGCGGAGTTGAGCTCAAAATGATAAGGCTTTGTAATTTTTTTATTCATTGGTCCGTCTAATAATTTATATATAAATTCTTACTCTACACGTTTGTTTACCTGGTACTTCATGACTCTCAAATTTTATATTGTTTTGTCCTTACAAGTAAAAATTATCGAAAAATCTAACTTTATCAAAAAATTTGCTGGATTCCAAAGCCGGTTAAGTTATAGGTGTGATAAAAGTGGTGAGTTATGTCTGAAGTAACTGTATTCTTTTTTTCTTTTTTTTGTGATTTTTTGTATTGTTTTTGTTGTTAATTAGTAATGTATTTCTGTTAGTGATTTATTGCTCCATTTACAATTTAATACTAGTATTTTCTATCTCTTGTAATGTTAATAACATTCTTAGAGCTATTTATAGAAGTTATTATAAACTTTTTACGTGTATTTGTTAAAATAAATTTGATGGAGGATCAAGAAAAAAATCTTAAAAAATTGCGTCCTCTGACATTAGGTGTTTGTCTCTGCAGATTATATTTACTAGCTTCATTTGTTTGTGCTCATAATATTTTATATAAAGTTAGTTTTTTTTTTTTTTTTTTTTTTTTTTTTTTTTTTTTTGAATTTTTGTGGTTTTGTATTACTATCTATTGATTTTCATTTGGCTTTATAGGAGTTTTAACTTTTCTGTTTTGTTAAATATTTGATGAATCAAATCTTAAATTGAGTCTTGAATTAGTGTTGTTCTGCATTTTCTGCTTTTTTCTATAGTTTTGCATGTCATTTTTTATAGCGTTTTTCACACTTTTTCCAATCTTACATATATATATTTTTTTTAGCTTTTTTACACTTTTCCAGTTTTGCATTTTTTTTTTTTATTAATCAACATTCTGTATTTGATTTTCTCATTCCTCTTCGTGCATTTTGTGTTTTGTAGGTTGCTCTTTCATTTTTCTGAATTTTTTTTTGACATTTTTCTATTTGTTCATTATTTTTGCAGGTTGCTTTTTGCTTTTTTCTTCATTTTTTGCATTTTTCTATTTGTTCTTTATTTTGCAGGTTGCTCTTTCTATTTTTTTTTTTCCTTTTATAATTTCTTTTGGTAAAATTTTTTTCTTCTAATTTTAATTTAACATGAAATTTTCAATATATTCATTCACTATAGATTTTAGTGTTAATAATGGTTCTTCAAAAAAAAAAAAAAATGTTAATAATGGTTTAAATAGTTTTTGTATTTCAGAAGGGAATTTTGTAATATGTATAAAAGACATTAAATTGTTTTTTTAGCTGGTGCGTGTATTTCACGCTCAAACTGGATCTGTTTTTGATTTTTCAGGTGTTTAATTATTACAAAATTGGCAACTTAAACGGCACAATAGGTCCTTTGTTAAGTTTAGGATGACAAATGGTTAAAGCTTGAAAGTTGAAGAGGGGGGGGGAGGGGGGATTATGCATTCAGCCAATGATTAAAAGCATGAACTAAGCATGCCACTTTTGTGGGTTCGGAGGAGACTTGACTTATGTAGCCCAAAGCCCTCCCCTGTTTTTGCAAAGAAATTGTTTCTGTGGCTCAACATCTTTTGTAGAGTGTTGAAATGACTAAAAAATATAATTCAAAAGTAAACATAGAACATGCTTAATATTTTATTTCATCCAATTGTCCTAGGTGTTTATGTTGTCATCCTATTACTAGCACTCCTGGAAACAAAATCAAAGATCTTTCTTGGTTAGAATTACTTGTTCTTTCTCTTGGATGATTATTCACTACAACACTATTAATTAATTTGGGAATTGGGAATCTATTTGCTAAACATAAAAAAGCTCAAATTCACAACCCAAATGCTCTCTTTATATTGGATGATTGCAAGATCTCTTCAATTTCACACTAAATTTCTGCCATGGGTGAATAGACTTAACACAATGGTTGTAAGTTGTAATGAAGGGTTGCATCCTTTGATAATTGCCCATATAGGCATAAACTAAGAGTTTGTGATTGCCAAAACTGAATTCTCAATTGTATTATTATTATTATTATTATTTTGTCATCGTCAAAAGCTTAGTTTGTGGTGTGAACAGTGACATACTACAGTAACGTGAGCAGTTCTAGACTTTAGGCCCTGCATCAGAAAGCTTAGGATCTTGCTAATGCCATTGAGGAATTAAGAGGTATTCTCCCTATGAACGTGGGGAATTTGCTGTATGAATCATGTAATCATTTGGTCATTTGAAATGCGGTCAACTAACTCCAAGACAACAACAATGATAAGGAAAGGGCAAGGGCTCTAGCAAAATCAGAAAACGGCATCTTGCCACACAACTTATGCAGCATAGGCAGTATACAAGCAAGGGCTGGGATGACCTAGGGACTTGATTTGGTAAGTTGTGTTGTGAACAAATAATAATCTTGGGCCATGTTTGGTAAACCGTAGTGGAACTTATGTGATGTAATCAAAGGCATCTCTAGTGTACATCTATACTGAAAATACTTTTGATTACATTATATTATGTTATATTACAGCTTACCAAACATAGTATTAGTTCATTTTGGGATAGAGGAGGCATCTCAATTCTGACAGTTTTTTGAATGTTCCAATTTCTGACATAATGGAGGTAAGATTTTTCAAGGCAATGGGTGAAACAAAAGTAGATCCACGAAAAAAAGAAGTTATCAATGCAAGTCCCCAATAGGAAATCTACTAGGAGTGATCATCGATATATTTCTGTGAAATTTTCACTAGGGAGACACTTTCTGCATTAGTAGGTAGTACATTAACTTATTTTAGTTGAGTCTTCAGTCCTTGGTCCTATAAACAAATGGCTCGTCTATTAAGAAAAGCCTGGAAAAAATTTCAGTTAGTCATAGCAAGATGGCAAAGGCTCAGTCATTTCTTGATCCAACAAAGATAAAAAGTGTTTGCTATTTACTTTTGTTTTGTTTGCTTCTCTTTTTTGTACAAGAGAGAGAGAAAGAGAGTTCTTATGATCAACCTCAACCAGTTTAGGGGTGAAGCATTATTGGGTTGATTTTTTTTTTTTTTTTTTTTTTTTTTTTTTGAGAAATATTATTGTTTTTTTTTTTTTTTTTTTTTTTTTTGAGAAATATTATTGGGTATTTATAAGTGAAGTGATACCATACACTTTTTTTAAAGCGATTAATTAATTTTCTTTCCTCCATCTTGCTTGTAAAGAAATCCTTTTACTTTATGGAATTCCTTGATTTCTTCTTTAATGTTTCCTTTTTCTTGACAAATTCAATTGCATTTTCTTTGTCCTTCCAAAAGACAGCAACAATTCAGGTCTTGAAAAAGGCTGGTCGCCCATCAGAACGTCTAGTGAGCCATGAAAATTGCAGATTTAAAAAACCCTTGGAGCATGAGTGTGTTCATGTCCATGAAATAACTGAAGCTGCTGGAACTGAAGAGGCAGAAGCTGATGCTGAGTATGATAATGCTCTCAAGGAAGCAATTAGAGGTGTGCAAGATGTTGTTATTGCCATAAATGAACATATAGAAGAAGTCAAATATGAGATTGCTGCCCTTGATGCTGAATGACTTTTAACTATTTTCATTCGGGGCCAATAGCGAGTCTGTCCTAGTTCAGGAGCTAAGAAAATAATGCAAAGTAATGCACGGTACGATATTTCATACTCTGTCCAGGAAATTCGTTTTTGTATTTTTATGGTCAGCAAAATGTATATAAGACATTGTTCTTGGTTCAGATACTAGGGTACAAACCAAGGAACTATGGCCTTTTCCTTTATTGTTTTAACCATTTGCCCTCTTGATTTATAAGAGCTTGTTACCCTTAATTACATATCTTGGCTTCACTCCTGCAATCAAGCCTCTGTTTTGACGTGTCCTCTTTATGGTTTGAGAGAAGTCTACATTTGGTAGACTTGTGATTCAATTTCACTCTACTTTCAAAGTGCCCATTTGGTTTGGGTTATCAAAGCCGGTGATAATTATAGGGTGCTCGATTTTATAAGGTATTGAGTAAGGTAAAATCAAAAGTGGTGTTTTATTTTTAAACTCTAGCTTTTTACCTTGTAATTAAAAGTTGATTTGTTTAGCATTTGGAAATTTTACCTATTTTTGTGAAATTTGATGTAGTTATATTCAATTCCATAGAAATAAATTTTTAAAATTGAAATCTACGTTATTTTCACTCCAAACGTAAAAATATGGATTTCCAAACAAGGGTTAGAAGTTGCTTTTGGATCCAAATTTAGAATTTCTAACAAGCGGATTATTCCCCGGTTGCTGCAAATGTATTAGCCCATTATTTTTTTTAACTTATTTTAGATGTATGAATATTTCAAGGTATTCACAAATATGTTAAATTAGATAATAAAAGTATTTAATTATATATAAATATCATATGTAATTAATTAAGAATATCAATTTGTATTATTTTTAGTAAAATTAAATTAAACATTTGACATTTTAATTTGGCTAAACATATAAAAATACTATGAACTTTTCGACCTATTGCAATCAGTGTGAAATGACCTTTGTTCTCTCGGCATCTCGATTTTAAAATTTAAATATATTATCACTCAAAATTAAATTAGAACTATGGTTTATAGTAAAAATATATATATAAATATAAGACCCAACAAACCACCTCGGTTAATTTAACCCAAGGACCACAAAATAGTGCAAAAACGCACATTTTTAATGGTTTGAGACCCAAACTAAATTATGATTTATGAGCAAAACTTCCAGTCTCTCCTTAAGTTCACGTACGACGGCGCTGCAGGAGGCCGTGGTTCGTGTAAGTTTGCGTGTCTGCCGAATGCACAATTTGCTTGGGTGAGTTTGCTGAGGGAGATAAGGTCAGAGTGTAATGGTTTCCATGTTGGATTATCGACACATGGCTTGGGTCCCGTCCTCCTTTCCTTCTTGCCGTCAGATCTTGGTGGTGACTAGATGTCAGAAATGCGGCCTGTTTCTTGCTATTCCCTTTGGCGGTGATGGACCTGTGGCTGAGACTATTTGCAAGGCCAGGAAATAATAATAATAATCAAACCCATAATGTACTTTCTAACATTGGCCATTTCTGTGAATTGTATAGCTGATTAGAGGTTTGATAATGAATTTCATTGTCTGTTAATTTTCTTTCCTGGACGGAGGGCACAACTCATTACAGGCCACGGAAACTACGATCACGAGCTTTTTTTTTTTTTTTTTTTTTTTTTTTTTTGGAACTAACGATCACGAGCTTTTTTTTTTTTTTTTTTATTTTTTTTTTTTGTGTAAACTTTCATTTGAGTTTTTCTCTTATATTGAATTGAAAATTTAGGCCAATATTAAAAGAACTGTGGCGTTTTACATTATATTTGGATTTTTTTTTTTTTTTTTTTTTTTTTTTTTTGTGTAACTTTCATTTGAGTTCTCTATATTGAATGAAAATTTAGGCATATTAAAACTGTGCGTTTTACATTATTTTGGGATTCTTGGGTTAAATTAACCAAGGTGGTTTGATGGCCCATATTTATATTTTTTTTATTGCAAACTCTAACCCTAATTTGATTGTGGGGGTCACAATTTAAAATCAGGGTATCTAGGGAACAAAGGTCATTCTAAGGTGATATTATAACATGTCGAAAATTTTTTGATATTTTTATATGTTTAGCGTTTTAATTCAATTTAAATAATTAAATACTAATAAATATACAAAGAATAAATAATGAAAAATATGTTTTTGAATGTTATTACTTTATTCAATTTATATTATTTTTTACATTTTAAAAAGTAAAAATAAAAATTATTTATTATTGAAAACAAAGGTTTAATTTATTGGTATTCGCTATATGTCAAAAGAGAAAAAAATTATTTGACTATCGCATTTGGTAAATATCTCGTTTAATTAAATTATTTGACTACCGTATATTACACATAATAAATACAAATTAAAAAATAGGTATAAGAAAAAGTTAATATATATACTTAAATAAAAAGACGTATAATTTTATGAGATACTTTTTGAGTTAAAATTGACATTTTATCTTTAAAACATCTTAATTGAAGTATTTTAGTGTAAGTTAAATAAATATATAAGATATTTCAAATAAAAGTAGATAAATTAAATTTGAATTGACTTATATAAAAAAATTATGAATAAAAATTCATATAAAATTATTTTTAATTTTAATAATTAATCCAACTAATTTAAGTGTTAATTTTAATATTTTTTTTTTATTGAAACAAATAGGAAATTTAAAAAATTTTAAATTTTAAATATGCTTGTCTCATTGGATAAACTAATTAAAGAATATTTGAAATAGTTTTTAAAAATAAATAAATTCAGTGTATGGAAATTGTATCATCCTTGTTTAAATTAAAATTTTTTTTCTTAGTTTATATTCAAAGAAATCATTATTTTTTAAAGAAAAAGCTCTAAATGCATAATTATAATTATATTGGACAAAATTCGTAGACCATCCTATTTGTCAAAGAAAAAATTGATTCTAAAAATTACTGTTTTATATGTTTTTTCTTTATATAATATAATTTGCAATGAAATAGACATAAAAGTAATTGAAAATTTAAAAAAAAAAAGAAAGAAAAAACTTCTTAAAACCCTCCAATACTAAAAATCACGGTAAAATTCACATTTTAACTTAATCAACTTGTTCATCAAACATTAATTCCAATACAAATACCGTCTTATGAGTTTTTTTTTTAAATGAACTAAAACTTTAAGCATAGATTTCATTGTGACGTGATCTTTCCTTTTACGTAAGCCATATAGTGAGGAGTTACTCATGATCACATTGTTCCTACAACAGTCTCAAATAATATTACAGTGTTCGTGACAGTCGACTATAAACTACATTCAAAACAAAAGTGTACATTTTCAACAAAATGATCATATGACTTAACCATATATATGGTTAGTGGTGTGCACTAGAGCCATATACCATTGAAGTCATTTGTTAAACATTTATCTCCATATGCTATCTATCTGGTTGTTCTTCATAATGAAAGTTTGTAGTTTGAACATTCACTAGAAATTTTTCTATCTCATCATATTACATTCTGTCTATGTTATTTGAGAAACACGGTCAGTGACTTAATGTTGATAAGTTCGGTATAATCCTTTGTGGGAGTTTATGCTTTTGCTTCTCCAAATGAGCAATGAAACAGATGTTTGGAGTAGCATTTGGTTAGGCATTTAGAGAGGTGTCTGTGAGTCTATTTCTCCAAACAAGTGTTTAAAAGAATTTATAAAGGGTAAATAGATTACTATTATTTTACGGTTTGGATTATGTGTTTTATGCATCACTTGATTGATTATTAAAATGTTGAGACATTGGGCCTAATACGATTTGATGAGTATTAGCAATAAGATATGCTTCAGAGCCATGAGATGAATATGTCGAATTTGCGATATCGAATGATGACTATATGGAGGTTTAGTGTTGTTTTAGTGTTGTCTATTCAAAAGAAACTGAAAATTTCAAAAAGAAAAAACTGAAATTGAGGGGAAAAATGGTTAAAACATAAAAGAATATTTCTCATTATGCAAAATAATGTTTTAAAAAATAAATAATAAATTTAAGAATTGAAATTTGCGAAAATGGAATAAATAAAAATAAAGATCCAAAAAGCAAGCAATCAGAGTCTGACTCTTAAAATATAATGGTAAATATGCTCTACTGTTGTGTTCTTCCTCACTATAATTCTATTCTATTGCCATATTTTGCGCTGAGAGACTAAAGAAAGTAATATTTAAAGCAGCCTTCCTTCCATTTCTTTCACATCAGAAGCAAAAAATGGAAATGTCACAAAATCTAATTACTAGCTCCATTGCTTCATGCCAACATTCAAGATGAAAGAAAGGTAAATTGTTAATTATTGAGTCCACATTCGGTCGGTTTGATTTAATTCTATAATGAAAATCGAGCCGAATCAAAATATCTATATATTTACACTGAATCCGTTTTATTTAATTTTTTTTATTTTGACTTAATTTTATATTTTTTAATTTTCAATTTTGTTTAATAAAAATCACGCCAAAGTACAAGAAATTTTAATTTTTATGTTAAAGTAAAAAACAAATCAATAAATTCAATTCAATTTGATCCTTATTATTGTATTATACCCAACCCTATTGATAATTACTTAATTAAGTAATTATATAATTTTAGAATAATTTCCAAAAGCTCGTAAATAGACTATCCTCTTCGGGGAGGAAGTTGAAATTGATACTTGTCATTGAAAGAATTTTCTTATAATAATAATTTACCGATCAATGATTGAAATGACTTCATATGAAGCTCTTTATAATAGAACATATCGGACTTCCTTGTATTGGAATGAAGCGGAAGAGAGAAAACTATTGGGATTGAAGTTAGTTAGACAAACAGAGAAAAAGATAAGAGTGGTGAAAGAAATTATGAAAACGGCTAACGATCGACAAACGTCTTATGCAAACTTGAAAAGAAGAGATATTGAGTTCAACGTAAGTGATAAAAATTTTCTTGAAGGTATCGCTTGCGATTTGAAAGGAAACACAAATTGAATTTAGTTTATAGGACAAGACGGAATGGATCAAGAATCAATCAAGATTTTCTGTAATCTTACTAAATTATTTTTTCACCAAAAAACCATAAAATTACCATACAGATTAATTACAATTAAACAAAATTTATTTAGATAAATTTGAATTGAAAAAGGAAATAAACCAAATAATTAATTCAATCGTTGATGATCTACCGTTGAAGTTGTAATAGAAGATTTATTAGTAGTTATTTTCCAGTTAGTACAACATTAAATATAATAAATTAAAATAATTGAAAATTTATATACAA